CGAGATGACGCCAGAGGAGCTGCAGAAGCGGGAGGAGGAGGAGTTCAACACGGGGCCGCTCTCTGTCCTCACCCAGTCTGTCAAGAACAACACCCAGGTCCTCATCAACTGCCGCAACAACAAGAAGCTCCTGGGGCGCGTCAAGGCCTTTGACAGGTCTGCATCATTGTCCTCAGGGTGTCCCCAAAGGGGTCCCTGGGTTCCTTGGTGTCCTGCAGGTTCATCGCGGTGTGACGTGGGGCATCCCGCTGTGCCGGGGCTCCCCAGTCCTGGTTTCCGTTATACTCTGAGTTTGTGATGTCCCCCTCTGTCACCTCATGGTCCCCAGAGTCCTCCTCTGTCATCCCAGGATCCCTCTGGGTCACCCCAGTGCCTCCCCATGATCCCTAATGTACCTCTGGGTCACCTCAGCATCCCCTCATGGTCCCCAGTGTCACCTCTGTGTCTTGCCAGGGTCCCCAGAATCCCCCTGGGGTCCCCTGTCTCCTGCCCCGGTGTGACCCACCATCTCCATGATGCCACATGCTCCCCTCTCAGCTCGCCACCCTCCCTTTGAGTTCCTCTGTGCTCCCCAGATTTCTTGCAGGTGCTTCTGGGTGTCTGCTGGGGCACCTTCGGGTGCTGCTGGCTCCCCAGAATCTTGCTGGAGCCCCCCTGCTCCTGCCTGATGGCCTCCACACCCCCCAGATTTCTCCTGCTTTCCCTCAGTCTCCCCCCCATGTCCTCCTGCTCCCCCCACGCCCTCCATGGCCCCTTAGTGGAGGCGCAGCCCCCTTCCCAGCTCTGGGGCCCCCCACACGTGTGTGTGTGTTCCCCCTAGGCACTGCAACATGGTGCTGGAGAACGTGAAAGAGATGTGGACGGAGGTGCCCAAGAGCGGGAAGGGGAAGAAGAAGTCCAAGCCGGTGAACAAGGACCGATACATCTCCAAGATGTTCCTGCGTGGCGACTCCGTCATTGTTGTCCTGCGCAACCCCCTCATTGCTGGGAAGTAGGGGACCCCCGAGAACCCCACCCCAACACCCCCATTGGGGCGCCCGGTTGGGTCCCCCAGGGTCCGTTGGTGTTGCGCTGAGGCTCTGCATGACCTCCTGGGGCTGAGCCCGCCCTGCCTGGACCCCACTGGGCCCACCAGC